GCTGTGAGACTGTCAACCAAAAAAGATTTTTTGGATTAAAGTGATAATATATATATATTAACTTTTTTTCAATTTTCACACATGTCTGGTTCTATTATTTTTTCTTATCATAATGATAATGAATTTTTTTACATCTCAGTTTTAGGGGTTATGTTCCAAAAAAACTGTTGCAGTTAGTAAAACTATAAATGCCGAAATGGAGACTTTATGAGCAGTAAGGAGTTAGAAGGATAACATTGAACATTGAGTAAACCATAAGAAATGAAAAATTTCAAACTGGTTAAAAAGAATCAAAGTTAAGAATTGATAATCAATGCCTTACAAATTTTTTTGAATTTCTTTAATAGGGCAATACTTCAAGTTCAAGCCATAATTAATGACCAGATAGATCAATGCTTATAAAATGATCATTGTAGTTATATGCCATCAGTAATAGTAGATAAAAAGAATAACATTGTTTTTAGCTTTTAATTACAGATAATTTTTTAATTATATAAAGAAAGCATTAATTTATATCTTGTCTAAAAATATGATATAAATTATTGGTAATTAAAATATTAAACAATAATCTGAAAATTTTTTATATCATTTTCATTAATTTCATTTTTGGTAGAAGTTGCATTATTTCAAAACTTTGATTGTAAAATTATGCTGCCTGTCCATAAATGGATGAAGCAAATGATATAATGTTTACACAAAACTCAGTTTTGTGTAAACAAAAAATGTAAACTATACTGAAATAAATGAAATCCAATATAACAATAACTTAGTGAACATGTTTTCTATATACTGTACTTTTCATGGTCTTTTCTTTTAAAAGCTGTGTTGTTGTTTAAATTAGAACTGTGAATTAAATATTAAAAAAATTGCAAATTTTTCTTATATTCCTTCTCCTTGTTTACATATATTTTCTGCTTGATCACATTTTTCTTCTGTAGTATTTTTGTAATAATAGTGAGAGCTGTGTTCCTGGACTTTTTGACACAAACTTCGTCAGAAAAAATTTAATGTTATTTTTGTAAAATTATTGTTGCTATACATGATGCATTTCATTAATGCAAATCTCAGTTTTTATAACTTAATCTATAAATGCTATTTTATTTTTTATTTTATTTTTTTGAATGCTATTTTAAAAATTATTTGAGGTAATTAANGTTAATAGCCAAGGTAGAAAGTGGGCACAAGATGTCTGATGTTGCTAGGCAGTATGGCTTGAACAGGTCTACAGTAGTGCCTACTGTAATCGTAGTTATGAAAGGTATATCAAGAAGTCTCAAGCTGCTAATGGAGTAATGAAAATCACATCTGAGAAATAAAGAACATTTTAGAGTTCACAATGGAACCTGAAACTGATCTGTGACAGAAAAACTCCAAGAACTCTCAAATGAAGAATACCAAGAAACTGAGCGAGATGCGTTTTCTTTTGAAAAAGAGAAGACTAAAGAGGATCAATGTCGATTATCTGCTACTAAAGATCTTTTGAAGAAGTGGTAGGATGTCAGAACAACGATCATTCAAGTGGCATCCAATCCAGAATAAGGTTAATGGGGTTGGGGATCTCTACAATTACAATACAGTACTATTAATTACATCCGAAAAGCCCTGAAGAAAAGATAAAAGCAATCGACATTGGACAGATTCTTTAACCCCACAAACGGAAAAAAACATGACTAATAAAAATGCAAGACTGCATATATATGTATTTTTACTATTACATATAAATGAACGTAGTAAAAATGTATATATATTTTTATTTTTTGGAGTCTCCGGAACGAATTAATCAAATTTCCATAAAAATCTATGACAAATCGATAATTGGTTAACGAACATTTAAGATAACGACCAAAGTTTTGGAACGAATTATGTTATTTAACCGATCACCCACTGTATTTTTAATTATTATAAAATAGAAAAATACTTAAAGTTTTTATACGAAAATCTCATAACAGATGGCGCACATACAATTTTAGTTATTTATTTTGATTAATAATACAAATGTTATTTTTAAAATGAAATCTCATAAAAGCCAGGAAACTTACCAAGTCGTTGCTAGATTTTTTTTAAAATTTAAATAATACAATTCAAAAAATATTTCATTCGACTCTCTCTGACCTGTGAGTACCAAGACAGCCTTTTTAAATCACTCTCATTATAGAATACTAGCAGACCCCGCCACGCGTTGTTGTGGCTCAAATGTATTTATTATAAATGTATAACACTTCCCCCGTGTGGGGGGGGATTTTTCGAAAAATTTCTTCTTAGTGTACATTCTCTTGGCGTACCCTATTAAAGCGCAATCAAAAACGCAAAAACCCACATCTAAAATAGTANATAATAATTTGTTGCAAAATCCAGTAATCCTTTTTTTTCTTAAACAATATTTGAACACTTTCTGTATTTTAAAATTTTTATATTTAAAAATTTTTCCAGTCTAAGATCATTACAACATTCTGTATTTTTACATTTGTATACTATGTTTCATTCATAGACATTCTGTGAGAATCTTTGATATACAAAGTAATCTAGCTTGACTAAAACCTTTTGAATGAGGTAAAAATGTTAGCTATTAAAGAATTTACTAGAATTTATAATTGTTTACATTTTTTGTTTATGGTAAACCAATTTTTGCATTTAATTTTTGACATTGAATATTTGATATATTATAAAATTGAGTAGAATTGGGCTAGAGGGTATTTATTAAGAGAAAGTCAACTTAACATTAATTCTTTAATGCTATCATTTTTATATTTTGCATTGATTTTTATTAACGATCTTACTATTTAATTTCTACTTTTTAAAGTAGAGTTTAAACAATAAAATTGTTAAACTTAAAAATAAGTCAATATAAGTTCAAGAATATTTAACCTGAAATTAGTTTTAGAACTTATTATATTCTGGAGATTCAATTTTTCAATTAAAGAAATAAAGATATCACATTTTTAAATAAAAATTGTTTATATTACATTTGAAAATAGTTTTTCAATTGTATTAAAAAGATTGATCAACAAATACCAGTTTCTTCTTTTAAAGATGAAATAAAATTATAAAAACATTTAAGATTAAAAAGGACTCATTTTTGAATTATCAACTGTTCTTAAGTTGTGTTTATATTGTTTAAATAATAAGTTGATTGTTTGATGCTATTGATAAATTGTTATGAAATTTCATAGTGTAGATATTTGAACAAAAGTTTTTTAAATGTAAAAAAAAAATTAGAATTCAGTTAATAATAATTAATATAATTTGAAAATATATTTTATGTTGACATCTAATGCTGTTCCAGCTGAAGAAAATATTTAAAATAAATCTACACTTAGTCTTATAAATCATTAATTTTTTTTTTTTTAAGATAATTACTTTCTTACAGTCAGAGTAAACTAGATACTTTACAAAAATTTGAATATAAAAAATAATTTTATGGAACTATTTTTGTTTTATAGTAATAATTTTTTCATCTGTATTCAATGACATATATAAAATTTTGTATAGGAATTTTCAATGTTTTAAAACAATGATCTGTAGCCAGACAATAATTAACAGGAAAAATCAGTTGAACTGCTAATTAATCACTTTAAAATAATAATAATAATACCACTATTGAAACCTAAAAACAACACCACCACAGACCCCACACAATACAGACCAATTACAGGTTTTCCAACACACTACAAATTATTGACATCCTGTATCACAAACAAAATATACAAACATGTTGAAGAACACAACATTCTTACAGAACAAAAAAAATGTTGCCGTAGAAATCACAGGGGATGCAAAGAACAGTTACTCATAGATTCAGTCATTCTACGGCAAGCACACAAACAACACAGAAACATACACATGGCATATATAGACTACAGAAAAGCATTCGACAGTGTTCCACACAGTTGGCTGCTACATATTCTACACATGTACAAAATACATCCATCACTCATTGCATTGTTCGAAAACACTATGCAGCACTGGAGAACAACACTGCATCCCAGGGTTAGTAACACTTCCATACAAATAAATGAGATATTCATTAGGCAAGGAATTTTTCAATGAGATTCCTTGAGTCCTCTCTGGTTCTGCCTAGCCCTGAATCCATTATCCAACATGTTAAACAACACGCATTATGGCTAAAATATCAGACATGAAAAAACAACACAGTATATGCTGTCACATCTCATGTACATGGATGACATAAAACTTTATACATCCACACACAAACAACTTCATCAACTCCTACAAATCATACACTCATACACTAAGGACATACAAATGGAGTTTGGCTTAGACAAATGCAAAAAACTACACATAGAAAAAGGAATCTTGAAGAGAGAAGATTTTACACTTGGAAATGGGGACATTGTTGAATCCATGGAAGAGGGTGAGTTCTACAAGTATTTAGGATTAATTAAAGAATGCCAAAGTAGGTTAAATGCCATTCTCAAAACACAGCTAAATGCAAAACACACAGTTAAAGCAATAAACACATAAAAACAAACTACTCACCACACCTCAATAATGATCACATACACTGAACCAAATTTACGGTGTGGTACGATAAACGACGAAAAATATGTCATCCCAGTACTCACATACTCTTCTGGAGTTATACATTGGACTCACACAGATCTCGAGCAACTCCAAAGGAAAACAAGAACAACACTTACTAAGCATAAACAACGTCACCCTAAATCTGTCACAGAAAGATTAACCCTTCCACGTAAAGATAGCGGACATGGCCTGATTGATATAGTTAACTTTCCCTACAAACAAATACAGTCACTGCGAGAGTTTTTCTACAGGAAACAAGAAACATCACAGTTACATAAAGCAGTAACTCTAGCAGTCTTAAATAGCACACCATTAAACTTACACTTACAACACATAAAAAGCATAGACACCATCAAGCAATCGTGGGCTTAAAAGGCACTCTATGGCAGGCATCCTTATGACCTGGCCCAGGATTTTGTTGACAAAACTGNTTAAAACTATTTTCAATTTTTAAATACCTTTTCTTCTACTGAGGCACCTATTTTAAGTGTTTTTACAGCAGCAGCTACCCATCCTTTAGATTCTATGAAAGTTTCTCCTCCATAGACAGTACCAAAAGCACCTTCTCCCAATTTTCTATTGATAACAACATAGTTTCTCGGTATTTCCCATTCATCTAATGCTAAGAGATTATGGGCAGCAACTAATCCTAATTCCTTAATTCTGTCTTTAGTTAGTTTCATTTTTTCTTCGTATCTAATAAACATTAATAAATTATCAATAGAAAATATTTTTAAAATAGCTCATAAAACTTTAATTAATCTAACCTTCTTTTCAACAATATAAAAACAATTGATAATACTAAAGCAAATATGGAAAAACCGGAAATATTCATGATAACAAGGGCAAGTTCACAGCTGACGTTCAACATTGCTCGAAACTGTTCAACAGAACACATTTCTGGATCTATTTATAAAAACAGAGTAAAGTTTCTCAATAGTAATAATAATTATCTTTATAATAGAAGGTAAGTAATCACTTACCTTCCATTCCATCAGATGGTTGCCTACCATCGTGCGTTAACCAAACAATGGCCGATTGATTTATTTCTAAAGAACCGTTCTCTTCTGAGATGGGAATGTATCTTCCAATTTCACGTGTAACATTACCATGCCATTGCCAAATGACAATGTCTAACAGTCGACTGGATCCAACAAATTTCACACGACCCGATACTCCCATAAAATTAGTTTTCATTAAGAGAGAGATAAACTTTCTGCAATTTTAAAACTTTTTCATTAACAATTTAATTTTATAGGATGTATAGCTTATACATAAAAGTATCTAACTTAAATATTTTTGAAATGAAACTAACCTGGTTACTGTATCTGAATGCAAAATTGCCACCATGCTGTCATTTTCGTTTAACAGATTATCTAAAGCTAGGGCATAAACCCAAACGGCATCATACGCGTATCCACCATATTTACTTATGGTTCTATTCTATTTAAAATAAAAATAGTTTAGATTTACAAATATAAACCGATTAATAATTTTATATTGTTTAGAATACTTGGGAGCTGGCATAAGTTTTGTATGTAGATGTCCATTCCTGGATGGTCTTTCCTTCTTGCATGACAATTTGTGGATCAGCATAAAAAGTATAAGTAAGAGTGATATGACCATCGATAGCTTTACTCATCTGTTCTGTGGTACACGGAATTGATTCTCCCTGAGTATTAAAGTAATCGGTATCAAACCAATTATTGCTAAACCACGCTGGTAAAAACCATTGGTAACCTTGATAAGCTGTCATTTTCTGTGCAAAATTAAACATGTATTTTAATAATAATTTTACATAAAATTCAACACAATACATTTAAATTTAATTTATAACTGAATTAGTTATTGAACAAAGGAGATAAATCACAAAAATGCATATTCTCATTGTGCTCAAATACTGAATTGTTCCAGTTGGAAACAGTTTGAGTACCAAAATACCACTGTATTTCGTTCGTCATTTTTATGAACGATTACTTACTTATGGTTAAAAAAAGTTTAATAACACTTACCTAAAAATGTTTAAATAAAGTTTACTAAATACAATAATTAATTTATAAAAATAAAACACTAAGTGTCTTAAGGGCTAAAGTCTGAAAGCAATGATGAAAATTGCACTGAAAGTGTCATCGTTGGATCAAGAAATAAAAAATATTGCACTACTGTATCAATTTTCATTAAAGTAAACCTGATGAAAAGCACAAAATAATTTCAATATTGTAAAATCCATGGGCAAATTTGAGACAACCTGCATGCTTGTTTGAATAAAAAAATCAAATAATGAAGTTTACACTTAAAAAGTATGAAATTTTATATGGAGGATTTCCAAAACTGTGTTAGAGCAAAACTGAAAGTTGTGTTGTACCAAGAATATCCCCAGTTTTCAAATCGTGCTGTATAAGGGATACCTGTAGCTGAACATGGAGGGTGAAAATGTTGCTTTCTGATATCTTTGTGTACTATGGCTGCTTGTAGTTGAGAATGTCTTCTTATTTTACTGGAACCTCATCAAACTTGTGTGATTTCCTTGCTTCTGCAATTCAGGCTACAGATTCTCTAGAACATAGACTCTGTTGGCCAATTGCAGAGACGAAGTTTATGTTAAATGACATTTAACAGCTGTATGGCATCAAGACATTGGCTGGCTGAAGTGCAATTTAAAATGCATTGCAAAGACAATGATCATCTATTTCTGAATGCCATCTAAATGAACCTCAGCAAAACATTGGTTCTTACTTTCTTTATTCGTTACTCCACTCTTTTAGTGATCATTCAGCCAATCAGGTTATTTGTTTGTGACATCAGAAAAAACTCCAATAAGGTTGCAATATTATTACATTACTACTGGAGTTTTATATCAAATGTTACTATGTTAACATTTGATATAAAAATCCAGTATTATTTTGTTGTTTTCTAATTGAATCCTTTCAAAAGAGCTTTAAGAGATTAAAACAGTTGGAATAAAATACAGTATAGTCATATATTTATGCTTTATATTGCAATTTGCTCCAGTAAAGCTATTCAGAATTGGTTAGAATTCAATAACTTGTATAATATAGTAGAAAAATTTTATATTTAAGAACGTTAGAAGCAATTATTTATGAAATATTGAAGAAATGAAGCTTTATAAGCAATTTCAAAGTGTTATTGCATTGTTATAATATAATAAAATTATTAATTTTGCTTGACTACAAGTCTGCCATTCAAATTGACTTGTATGTTCTAAAATTAAGAGTCAAAAACTTAAAATTTGCAACTTAAAGTACCATATAAGACAAAACTAAACTTCAGTCTGAATTTTATCAATATATGTGCAGCTTATCATTTGTATAAGATGACCCTCCTAAACCTACATATCAAAACCAAAACTGGGGAAACTCCAAATAAATAGCAAACTATTCTTATGTTGCAAAAAGTAAATTAAAAGGAAGCTATTATCAATAATTCATTACTTATAAGAAAATATTAAGTCTCAATTACATTGGACACTTTTTATGATCAATGGTGAGTTCTACCAAGATCTTTTAATAGGTGATTGTTAATTCCCCTGTAATCAAAAAGTATCAGGAATGGTTCAAATACAGGATTTTAGTTCATTCATCAAAATTTATTTCATCTTTTTCAAAGTAATCACTTATGCCAACATTTTTTCCAATCCTCGAAATACGCTTTAAAGTTGTTTTTGTGAAATCCCTTAAGGACTTGCAATGAATTTTGTTTTATGGCACTGATCAACTCAAAATGGTGACCACAAAGTGGAAATTTTAGTCAAGAAAATATGAAAAAGTCACACAGTGCCATATCAGGTAAATATGGAGCTTGCACAACCAAACAATAAGAGTATTGTGAGCAGGTTCATATTGTGGCTAGTTTTCTTGCCACAAATCAGATCGTTTTCTACAAATTGCTTCATGAAAATGACCTAAATGCTCAAACAGTTTTCTTTGTTGACAGTTTGGCCATTAGAAGGAATTTGTGATGCACAGCACCACAACAATTGAAGAAAACAGTCAATATAATCTTGATTTTTGACTGACTTTGACATAGTCTTTTCAATCTTGCTTCACTTTATGATCATCATTTAGTTGAATGTTGAGCCGTTTTGGTGTCAAAAGTGTAGATCCACATTTCATCACCCATAATGAGGCATTTTAAGATTGATTTGCCTTGAGAAAGCATTTCCTCAGCCACTTGAACACATTTGTTTTTGAAAAATTCAACATTTTCAGGAGAACTTGAGAAGTGATATGCTGTAAGACCAAATGATCTTTTAGAATTGCTTGACAAGTTCCAAATGAAACTGGAACATGTTCAATAATGTTCCTAATTGTTAAACAATGATTGTTGAACACTATCTCTGACTTGAATGATGTGTTGTTCATCAGTTGAAGTGGATGGTCTACTGGAGCATGGTTCATCTTAGACATGTTCTCTATCTTCTTTGAACATCTTGTGCCACTCAAACTCTTGTTTTTGATAGTCGTCAAAGGTTTTTTGCAACATTTCCAATGTTTTTTGTAACACTAATTCTGTTGTGAAAACAAAATTTAATGCACATTCTTTGCTCAATTACTTTCAACATTTTGAAAAATCTCCAGCACAAAAATTCTTTACACACAAAAGAAGTGTTTATTTGCAAATGAAAACGGGTGATGACATAAGGATTGCTGCTAGATGTTGATAAAAATCATTCCAAACGGCAAAATACGATGACAGCATCCTCCTCTACGTGCTCAGTTTAAATTAACTATTCCTGATATTGTTTGATCACAGTAATATATTAATATAATGAGCTGGTCTAAAACTGAAAACAAAGTGCAGAAAATTATAAATTATTGTGATGGTACTGTTTATCATTTATTGATTTCCATTTTAATTAATAATGTTGATTTTGTAACAAAAAACTGATAAGTTAATTTTCAATAACATTTTCTTCCAGTTTATTAATATAAAATTCAGGAAATTTATTAAGGAACAAATTTAATAAATCTATATTTTTTGTAATAGATTACATGATTTATTAATTAATAAACTGTTTTTTCCTCTCTTTATAGAAGTCACAGTTTTATGATTGCAGATTAATAACATTATGTTTATATAATAAAACATTTTATATTAAATCTTAATAATTTGATGATTCTAAAAGATACATTTTTTTTTTCTAATTAACAATTTTAACTAACTAAAAATTTTAGTTTGCAAAATATGTCAGATAATCATGAATATACAGCAGTCTTATAAAAATGACATTAAATAACATTAACATCAAATGATAATGGTGAATTAATGAAGAAAGTTTTTCATGCACCCAAAACAAAAGTAGAAACAAACAAAAACCAGTGTTATTGGAAATTTTCTAAGAGTCAATTTGAATAAAAAAATTATCAATTTTTTCATCCAAAGTATCCATTGCATCAAATGTGACTAAGTGTGAGCCCTGAATTATGAAGTCATATCAACAATTTGCAACATCAGGTGTTTGCTATTTCTTCTTTATTATTTCTTAACAATGTTTGATGCAAATATTTTAATTTTAAATCAATGTACATTTAATAACTAAAGTAGATACAGTACCAATTCATGTGCTGTTGAAAAATAAATCAATTCTAACATTAATAACATTATAGTTTCAACAATATGACCTTGAGAGAGAGTGTACAGTAATTTGATCAGACAGGATAAATTATATACTGTGTAATATGAATTATTTATAATAATTGAGTTATTATGTATAATGACTATTTTTGTCATATTTGTATTAATATCCATGAATGAATTTTTCCATGTTACAATATGTTCAAAATTAGTCTATAAAAATTACATATATATTTTATTTCTTTTTTAGTTAAATTGCTACCTAATGTTTCCTAAAAAAATTCTTAGGCTACTAGTTTCACAACATAAAAACTTGCAAAATAAAAAGTTTGATTTTATAAAATTTAATTAGGATAAACTGTTGCCAAGAATTTTGCTATTATTCCTAACAGTTACAGAAAGATTTGGGAAGTTTTTGAAGAAAAATTTCCCTGAAGATGTGTATGCATATATATATGTATACCTATCTTGAGTGATTACAGATTCCTTTTAAAAAGAAACATGCAACAAACCTACATTATTTAAAGAACAGTACTAAGATTTTTATTCATTAACAATTTTTCATTACAAATTACGTCTAAGAAAAAGTTAAATCTTGTCGCAGAACTCAATCAATGTTTAATGTTATGGATCATCTGGGAGTTGAATTCATTTCATAAAATTATTTAGAAAATTTATTCCTAAATTCTTCACTCTCCATAGTGAGGTTGAATAGGCAGTTTTTTTTTTTCAAGTTAAAGATAAACCAATAAAAATTCACATCCTAATTGCCATGATCTAAAGATCAAATTTTTTTTCATAAAGGCGTGTCTACACTATTAAATTTCTTGCATCAAAATATTGAAATCAAGAAAATATGAAAATAATATTTTGTCTACATCAGGGGTCACCAAACTTTTTTCATAGTGGGCCAGATAACTGAAAGAATGACAAGTGTGGATCGCATAACCATTTTGTTCAATATAGTATACTGAATACACAAAAAATAAAGAAAATCAACATATTTATTTACCAATACACAAACATGATTGCTGTGCAAAGTTGTAATCGCTTTTTCTCGAAAAATTCATTGTGCAGGTTCTTACAGAAAATGCGCTCTGATATCCAAAGTCGCTGAATTTTTCATTTCACTGATTTTCCTAAAAATTATATTACTGTCAAA